GCCGCCGCCGCCACCACCTCCCACTGCCTCCTTCAGCTCTCGTCAGACACGATCGCCGCGCCTCCAGTGTGCCCACCGAGCCCGCCCCGCCATGGCCTCTTCGGCTCTCTATTGGTCCAGATCTCCGCCACTCCCCCGTTGCTATGGAGCTCGCGCTGCTCCCATTGGCCGAGCCCCGCTCTTACCCTCCCCGCCCTGCCCCAAGTCGGTGCCCCCACAGAACCCCGCCGCGTCCGCACTGCCGTCAAGCGCCGCCAACTGCTGCCAGTGGCTCACCTCGCTGTCCTTCAGTCGCTGCCATGGAGACTTGTCCCGCCTCTTCATCCGCTACAGCCCGAAGTCCATGCCTTCATTGGCCGAAAGCGCCGTCGCATCTCGAAGAAACTCAGGTTGGGTCGGGTTATTCGGGTCCCGGTGGAAAGAGGGCGGGCTCTGCTAGCTCCAGAACTCGCACCTGATTGGCTGGCCTTGGGACAGCCCGTCCTCCCATTGGCCAAGGCCTCCGCCCGTCACCATACAGTCGCGGCCTCCTTATTCTCTTTCTCTGGATAAACCTTCAGCCGCAGGAGGCAGAAACCCCGGGCAGGCGAGCGGGAGGAGGTGAATGCGAGCGCCGCGCCATCGCCCCGCCCCGCGAGGCCTGCGGTTGCCAAGGGGACGGAACTTTATTGACAGCCTTGCCGGGCTACAAAGGGCTCCTCCGTCTCCCTCCCAGACCACCCTCCCTTCCTCCCCTAGGCACCCCGTTTCACTTGGGGAGTACCCACAAGAGCTCTCTGGGTCTTTCCCACGACGTAAACTCACAGAGGGGAGCCTGCGAGGCGGGGGCTTTGGAAACAAGCCCTTACTCAGGGGACGTTCCCCTGGGGCACCCCCTCTAATTGGGATCATCCCCCTGCCTCAGTCCTGGAGGCAAACATAATTAGCAACTCATCATAATTATGCCCAGAATAACCAGCTCCACGCTCAAAACAGGCCGCCTTTGTTTGCTTGTTTGTTTCGCTACAGTCGTGCATTGCTTAACGTCGAGGACACTGTCTGATAAATGCATCATTGTCACTGTGCGAACATCACAGTGATTTTGTACAAACCTAGGTGGTAGAGCCCACGACACACCGCGTCTATATGGTACAACCTATTGCTCCTGGGCCACAGACCTGCACAGCATGCTATTGTATCCAATACTGTGGGTAATTTTTTGGTCTTGTTTTGCTTTTTGAGTCGGAGTCTCACTCTATGGCCCTGGCTGGAGTGCAGTGGCACACTCAAGGCCATTGCAGCCTCGACCTGCTGGGCTCAGGCGATCCTTCTGCCTCAGCCTCCTGAGTAGCTGGAACAAAAGGCACACGCCACCACACCCGGCTAATTTTTTGGTTTATTGTAGAGACGAAGTCTCATCAGTTGCTGTGGCTGGTCTTGAACCCCTGGGCTCAGGCAATCCTCTCGTCTCTGCCTCCCAAAATGCTGGGATGACAGGCGTGAACCACCGCGCCCCCACTCAAATACTGTAGGTAATTGTAACACAATGGTATCTGTGTATCTACACACAAAAAACGTGCTGTAAAAATACGGCATTAAGGCCGGGCTCGGTGGCTCAGCCTGTAATCCCAGCACTTTGGGAGGCCGAGGTGAATAGATTGCCTGAGCCCGCGG